TGAATGTATCCCAGTGAATGCAGTATGTTAGAAGTTCTGTCACTGCTGTTGAAGACATTGAGGAATCTGGTTAGGAAATATCTCTGAAACGATGACCTAAAGGGCGACAGGTTGTCTAGTAAATAAACAAAAGTACTTAGGGTCATTCCTGTTTAAGCCCACAGGCTTTGAAAAGCTATCTTTCATTTTGCACATCAGAGTGAAAATAACCATATCCCAGTAGACATAAAAGTCTTTAGAGTCAAGGTCATTCAGTGCCTCTTATATGGAGGATAGATTTGCTACTCTCATTACCCAAATCCCATTACTGGTCTAACTCCTTTGTAGACTCATATGTAATTATGTCTGCTAAAATCCTTCATTAAGTTAACACCTCTCTGATAATACCTAGGTCTCCATGCTGTAGCTGAAAACAACTACATGCCTACATTTAAAAAAAGAGATCTTGGCCAATCTATTTTTAAAAAATTTACTACCATATTTTTTGGTCTATAAGACACACTCCCCCCCCCCCCCCCCCCCCCCAAAAAAAGTGGAAGGAAATGTCTGTTTGTCTTATAGAGCGAATGTTGCCAAACCCTGACTACCCACCAGCCCCCACCCTTCGGTCTATGCCTCCCAGCAATTTTCCTCCTTGCAACAAACAGCCAACTGTGTGGTCAGCTTCAGTATAACCTGATTTAGCACATTCAGTGGTAATAGGTGGCGGTGGTAGCAATCCCTGCCACCTGGAATGGCCAAAAATGGGATGCACAGAGGCCAAAAATGGGACACATGGAGGCCAAACACTGGACATGCAAAGACTGAACATGGGGTGCACAGAGGCGGCGATGGGTGGTGACGATGGATGGCGATAGCAATGATGGGTGGTGGCGATCCCTGCAGCCTGGAACAGTTGATCGTTGATCCAACCTCCAATCAGCTGCTTGTGCTAAATCAGGCTGTGCTGAAGCTGACCAGGCTGTTTGCTGTTTGCTGCAAGGAGGCAAATTGCTGGGAGGCAGAGGCAGATATTTTTTTTCTTGTTTTCCTCCCCAAAAGCTAGGTGTGTCTTATAGTCTGGAGCGTCTTATTGTTCGAAAAATATGATATTTTATCTCCCTCTATTATTTACTATTTTGACTCTTACCCAGGAAAAAAATGGTTAAATTTGAAACATTTGGACTTTGACACTGACATTCAGTTGGATTTTTGTTTACAAAATTCCTGTTTGATATGCCGTGGGTCTATTTGGAAGACAATTCTCTCATGCAAAATACTTACCAAGTATCCTTAGTTCATCTCATGGGACAGCCTTTACTTTTGCCCACCATAATACTTTGCCTTTGTCTGTTTTAGAAGATTTCAGATTGGTCCAATCCAGAATCAATTTTGCTCATCTTCCATGATAGAAATGAAAAGTTTCACAAAGCTTCTGGTTTGCCCCTGGTACACCACATGTTGCATTGAACCAATAAATCATTTTCTGACTCATAATCATGCATGATAAGACAAAAAGATTACATGTTTCCTCTTAGGTGATACCTGAGTAAAAAAAAAACACTTTTGTTTTCTCCAAAAAAACCATTTTAATTATTTGTTAATTTCCTATTTTTCCCTTGACTGTATGGAATTTATTATTTTTGTCTTTTATTGCAAATAAGTTTTAATCAAAAATAATAGATGCCAAGAAAAAACAGTAAGGATCATATGTGTATATATATATATATATATTATATGATTTCTGTCACATTGGATTCCAAACTGTTCAATTTCACAAAATGAGGGATTAAGGACATATGTATTCCCAATTATTCATATATTGCAGAAATTTAACTGTCGTCAGGAAGTTGAAAGATATCAGTGAAAGAGTTTTCTCATAATGATTGAAAATTATATTTCTATCTTTGAAATCATAATATATTTAAAGAAAATATATTCAAGTGGAATCTACAACCAAATATTTGCAAAATTCTAATCATTCCATTCTCTTTCCCTTATCCCTTCTTTTCCCTGTTTACTCAATATATCTTCTCTTATGAGCATATAAAACTTGAATATTTTTTATTTGCTATTCAGAGTTTGCAGTAATGCTAAATATTGACTATACTGTTTGCCTGAGCATGTAACATCCATGTTTATAATATACATTACTTTCAGCGCTTTTCCAAGAATAAATCAGTTTGTCTGGCTTCAAGAACTGTAAAACATATAAACATTCTGCTCAAAATAAATTAAAATCCTGATCAGCATTAGACAGGATCTTCTTGGGAAACAATTTGAAACAGCCACTCCAAATAAAAGGGTAAAGACAACCAAAAATCCAGTATTGATGTTTAAAACTTGATTAGATTCTGATTAGAACTTGAAATAAGAGCAGCAAAACTTAATTAATTAATTATTTTATTTGGAAGCTGCCCAGAGTCGTCTGAAGAGATGAATGTTTTAAATAAATGAATGAATATATTTTTAAAGTCACTGTATTCTAAAGAAGGGACTGATGCCTAACAGAATTGTGCAATTTAAAGAGGTATAAAAGATGTATGAGAGTCACAATACTGATGGATGGCTTTAGGCTGTATCCTCTTCTAATAGAAACTGTGGCCCACCACTGATGAAAAAAATTCATTTCCAAAACACTTTGCTCAACAACAGATAAATTTGCACAGGCGGGTTTACTAAGTTATTAATCAACATCTTACACACACGCACACACACACAGAGAGAGGAAGTAAAATGCATTTGAAAATATGTGTGTGATTATGGAACTCACTTGTGACCAAAAACATATGGTGGGCCCAAAAACGAGCAAGTTGGGACTTTGTAAAGAGACCGTGGGCCAAATTTACATTCCCAAAGGAATTTGGTTAGTAAATCAGACATGGGTTGTATCTACAGCTAAATCTCCTTCCTGCTTAGAACAATGTTTTTTCCTACAGTCTGAACATGACTGATTTTTGCCCTAATGTTTGAAGCGCAAAATATAGTGAGACTGATAAACTGATCGTGTAAATAACCTTTAGGAAGAAGGGAAGGATTTTAATGTGATCATACACATTCTAATCTTTTCCAATTACCCTTTCTGTTTTATTAGCCATGGTGTACCATTTTTGTAAATTATATTAGCAATAGTACTTATATACCACTTGATAGTGCTTTACAGCCCTCTCTAAGAGGTTTACAGAGTCAGCATATTGCCCCCAACAATCTGGGTTCTCATTTTACTGACCTTGGAAGGATGGAAGGATGGGTCAACCTTGAGCTGGTAAGACTCGAACTGCCAAACATCTGGCATTTGGCAGTTAGCAGAAGTAGCCTGCAATTCTAACTACTGTGCCACCATGACTCAGTCTTCACAGAAAGATAATCTTTCCTTCATTGATTTTTAGTTTGCTTCAATTAAATATTAAGAAAGGGTTAGGCTTAGAGCATGCCCAAAGAGACCCACAAGTTTACTTGGATCTAAACACATTTTGAAATTGAATTTAATTATTTTTTTTATTTTCTGTACATATATCCATTGCAAACATACCCTCTTATTCCTCCTTGTGATTGTGGCTTGTCTGCTTGTTTTTTCCCTTCACTTTGCCTCTTTAATGAAAATGGAGCATTTCAATTGTGGATTTTTCTTCTTAACTGAAATGAATAAGAAAGCTTCTGAAATAGTTTTAGATCAAGTGCTACAGAGTGGAAAAAAGGTAATATGAGGCTTAAATGAATCATCACAGCAACATATTTCTTTAGCAGATTTATTTCAAACTACTCAATTTTCTGTACTCTTTGAAATTCCATTATTAAACATAAATCTTTGTGAAATAAAAGTAGCTTCCTGGCATAGATAGTGGTCCTAACAAAGAATGTGGTGACCTCATAATGTGTGTTATATCTGAGTTCATAGGCAGGGTACAGGAGAATTGGTTACAACAATGAAGTTACAGAAATAAATCCTTACAATTCTTTCATATTTTAAAAAAAACACTTCCTAATTTACTTGAAGGCTCATCACTGAGGATGCTGAGATTGCTAGCTAGGATGTTCAGTAAAATAAACATGAGAATTCTTTAAAGACATTAGAAATTCAGAGGCAAAATTTTCTATATATTTGTAGAAAGTGTGCCGCATTTAAAGCATTAAAACAAAGTGCACCAATGTTAAAAGCAATCTATGTATATTAGTAGCACACTGCTGAGCCAAGAAAATTCTCTATTGTGAATTGAAATGCCAATAGCAAATAGCACTTAGATTTATATCCCGCTTCACAGTGCTTTACAGCCCTCTCTAAGCAGTTTACAGAGTCATCATATTGCCCCCAACAATCTGGGTCCTCATTTTACAGACCTTGGAAGGATGAAAGGCTGAATCAGCCGTGAGCTGGTCAAAATCAAACTCTTGGTATTGAGTAGAGTTAACCTGCAATACTGCATTCTAACCACTGTGCCACCATGAAAGATAGAAATTATCTAATACAAACACCCATACCCACAAACCACACAAATTTCACATAATACCTCTGAAACTTATTTTTAATGGAACAGAATTCCGCACTGTTACCTGTGATCAATATATTAATGTAAGAATGCATCAGAATTCAATAATGTACCCAGTTCTTACCTCCAATAGCAACACTACCCCAGCATCTATCCAGAATTAATAGATAGATCAGGTCTGAAATAATACATACAATTTTTTCTCTTTTTATGATAGATCATATATAAAAGAGGAACAAAACCTATTCTTTCAGTGTATTCTCTCATTTTGTCCTGTGATCAAGAAATGCATCTTCTAAGGAAGAAAACATTAATTTTAATTGAATTTTAATTTTTATTGCTATAAAAAAGAATGGCCTAATCCAATTGAGATTCATCCTTTTGCACAGAAGTCCTACTCCTTATAATCATGGACTGTAGTTTTCATACATAACAAATACAGTCTCTACATAGACAAGAATTGATCTATTTACTATGCTCAAAATAAGAAAGTTATTATTATTATTTTTACATTCAGTTTTTTTCTCCCAACAGGTCAGCATAAAATCAAGTTCATTCCTGAGATGGTGGGGCCCATGTTAGAAATGACTTTGATTCCAGAAACTGAGCTGAGAAAAGCTACAATTCCCATTTTCTTTGATATGATGCAGTGTGAGTTTCATTCTACCAGAAGTTTTCAGATGGTAAGAATTGTTTTGTTAACAAAATGTGGTTGCTTTAATCAAGGTGAATGTGGAAAAAAGTGTTTAATATCACTTGTTTAAAATAGGCCTGCACAACTTGTAAATCCACAGTTGTGTCTAGTAAACTCAAATTTGCTATGAATTTTTATTCCAGGTTTTTTTTTTTGTGAAGAGACAGATAATATCACTGCCTCCCTATCCATGAATGTTATGAGACTCAAGAAGGGATTGTCACTTCTAGGCAGGCCTGCTTTGACTGAGGGCTTTCAGACTCAGCTTTGTGCTTCTTCTGTTTTCCCAGCCAGGAAAACAGCACTTGGAACATCTGAAATCATGGGCTATAGTGATTCAATTTCTGTATTCGGTGTGTTTGTGTGTGCGCATATGGTATGTGTAGGAATTAATAGCCACTTCGAAGTAAGTCCCTTGAATTACTGTTTCTGAAAGGGACAGAGTGTTTAAAAAGTTAAGCGAGCACTCTGGAGGCTCTGAGGATTGGTTAGGGAAATTTGTTTGATTGGATTCAACCTTCATGCTGGAGACTTTTCCATATTTGGTGTGTCTCTACCATAATTTTGCTAAAGTGCCAATGCAAAAACTTGGATGTTATTAATTTCCTACCATCTGTTTGCTTTGAATAATCTCCCAATCTGTGTTGACATCATTTTGATGACATTGGGTATTTTAGGCAGAAGTGGAGCCTTTGGGAAATGTTGGCTTTCATATTAGTGTGAATCCTGTATTATCGCCACTTTAGGTCATTTGGAAAGTACCATGATTTTCCTACTTTAACATTTTCATTTAATTTATTTATATCTCTCCAGTCATGTATGTGGGGAGACATATCATCTGAAATGTTTATGAGCTGAATGTTTCAGACAAACAAATGAACGAGCTATCATATAGACCTAATAGAAATTTCCATTCTTAGTTTCATTTTGCGAATAGAAAAATCCTTAATTGTATAGAATAGCAACAGCACTTAGACTTGCAGTGCATTCAGAAAGTATTCAGACCCCCTTCATTTTTGTCAATTGTGTTGTGCTGTAGCCTGATTCTACAGTTGTTGAAATTCATTTTTTTCTCATTAATCTACACTCAGTACCCCGTAATGACAAAGTAAAAACAGAATTTTAGAAATGACTGTAAATTTATTAAAAAGAAAAACTGAAATCATCACATTGACATAAGTATTCAGATCCTTTGCAACAACACATGAAATTTAGCTACAGTGACTCCCATTTCTCTTGATCGTTGCTGACATGTTTCTACACCTTGGATGGAGTTGACCTGTAGTAAATTAAATTGATTTGACATGATTTGGAAAGGCACACACCTCTCTATAGCTGACAACATACTGTAACAGAACAAAAGCCATGAGGTCAAAGAAACTGCCTGCAGAGCTCAAGAGACAGGATTGTTACAAGGCATTGATCTGGGGAAGGCTACAATAAAATTTCTGTTACACTGAAAGTTCCTAAGAGCACAGTGGCCTCCATAATCCTGAAATGGAAAAAGTTTGGCTCAATCAGGACTCTTCCAAGAGCTGGTTGCCTGATCAAACTGAGCCATCGGGGGTGTGTGTGAAGGGCCTTAGTAAGAGAAGTGACCAAAAACCCAATGATCTCTCTGATTGAGCTCCAGAGACCTGGTATGGAGTTGGGAGAGTTCCAGAAGGACAACCATTACTGCAGCCACCCACAGATCTGGGCTTTATGGACGAGTGGCTAGATGGAAGCTTCTCCTCATTGCAAAACACATGAAAGCCCACTTAGAGTTTGTTCTTCACAGTCTGTGAGTTCTTCAGGTGCTGTTTTGTAAACTCCCAAGTGGGCTTTCATGTGTTTTGCACTGAGGAGAGGCTTCCATCTAACCACTTTTGCCAATCTGTTTATTAATATTATCTAATATACAATATATATTTGAACTTAAACATAGAAATAAAATGTGTCTTATTTCTAGATGCCTATAAAATAAGAGAGAAACATCACAAATAACTGTAAAATAAACAAATTGATAATACATATGATTACTAATGCAAAACTTACTGATGCAAATAAAAAACCTTCGGCTAAAGTTCTATTATACAAAGCAGGTAATTGAGTTGAAGCTGCCAGCGAACAGAGATTATTTTTATTCATTTCTTAAGGTTGACGTTAAATTATAATATCAACAAGGCAGCATTTTCTGACATAGTTGTCAGTAGGTGGTTTAACTTCTATTTTTACTAAAATGTTAAAATTAATAATTGTCACTTGTGTTGCATAAAACAGAAAGCTGAATAAATTTTAGAAGCCTTAAAAATATTATATGATACAAGCTTGGCCAGCCAATTTAGAGATAAATAATTGTAATTGAATTAAATTAAGTTCAGTGGTGGTAGTTGTCAAGCTCATAAATGGAAAGGGTACAGGACATCAAATCTGAATTTTTTTCAGTGATCCATCATAGACATTACCCCAAAGGATCAATGCTGAAATAAGTCTCAAAGTAATCTAGTATTTTGGAAGCAAAGCCATGTATGAGCTTCTTTTGAAATCTTGCCAAATTCCAGCTGCAATAAATTGTTGGCTACATAGCAGGGTATAGATAAAAGAGATAAAAAAACTTCAATTGAACAATTTCTCAAGGAGTTGCTACACAACATTTGGAGGCCTACGGACTACGGATCAAATACCTTCGACCAGGGGAGGTATTCAGCAATTTCTGACCAGTTCTGGAGAACCAGTAGCAGAAATTTTGAGTAGTTCAAAGAACTGGCAAATACCACCTCTGACTGGAGATTTTACAGTATCCTTCCCCTGCCATGCCCACCAAGCTACGCCCACAGAACCGGTAGTAATAAAATTTGAATCCCACCACTGCTTATGACCACTTTATATATCCTAATTGCTGCCAGGATGTGTTTATTATGATAAACATACGTTTATTATGATTGTGAGCAACAAATTGTAAACTGGGATTCACAAATGACCCTCACCAGAAGGTGATTCTTGTTTGTCTTTGAGGCAGAAAAAGAGACCCTGAGGTATTTGAATGACTTAAATAATAGCAGTAGCGCTTAGACTTATATACTGCTTCACAGTGCTTTTACAGCCCTCTCTAAGCAGTTTACAGAGTCATCATATTGCCCCCAACAATATGGGTCCTCATTTTACCCAGTACCCATAATAATGATGACTTCTAGTTTCCAAGGGTGATAGGGTATTTTAGATAATAGAAAAACTACTTTGGTTTTATCAGGATTGGTGAAGAGGTCTTTGTCTCCATGAAAAAGCAAGATTTCTGAGGCTCTGTTTCTGGACCATTAAAATATAGGTGAGATGGCTGAGTCATCTGCTTACAATAAAATGGCTCTACCAATCAAAATGTAGAGGAAAATCTGATCTTGAGAGGTCTTGCACTAAACACAGTTGATATATAAATTAAAAAAGAAGGTTCCAAAAATACAGCACTATTTCACTCCTTTCTGAACAGATAGAGAAGGGAAAACTAGAGAATACCCCATCAGACTTGAACTATATTGTTCTTATGGTGTTAAGTAATTAAATATGGCCACATCTGTCAGTGAAGAAGGCGATTTTCTCCAGGATCTGTTTCTGAGGACTGCTTCAGAAGCTGCCTTTAAATTTGTGAAGTCAACATATAATTGTTCACAGGTGGAGCAGCATACTTTATAACTAAATTCAGAAGAACAGCAAGTTGGCCTATCTTTCCTAAAGATGGCTATTCTTCTGTTAAAATTTTATCCTATGATATTCCCTTCAACCGTATTCCATAAGGCATTTGTCATACAACTTATTTATATACTCGCCAGACTAATTGAGCAGTAGCATGAGATAGAATGCTTTTGTCTCCTTTTTTTATGCAACAGGACAGTGATAAATTTATTCCAGCCTGCTAGCATCTGGAATGAATATAAATATGCATAAATAGATTAGCCAGGATGAGTGCCCACTAGTTAATGTTTGCCTTAAACAATTCTATCAGAAGTAGGTCACCTCTACAGTTTTGCCTTGTTTTAACTGAGTAATAAGTTTAGCAGCATTAGAAAGGGTTCACAAGAAGTCCAGCTGAGAATATTCTAAGACAAATGTCTAGTATCGGTATGGAGCTAGCATTATTGCTAAATAGAACATGACAGGGTTGATCATGCTGATCTTCCTCTGAGGAATGATACTAAATGAACCAATAATCTCTTTTGGGAAGGCAGGTAAGACAAAATACCAAAATAAAGTTTTCCAGTTATCGTTCTGATCTTCCTCTCCCTTTTTAACAGGGATTTATATACGTTTTTCTTCTATAATATATTTGGATGTAATTAAAATCAGTAGCTGTAAGAGCCTTGGGTTTTTTTTCTAACTAATCTTGCCTTTGGTACATGTACTCTTGAATAAAAACATGATGTAATATTTGGGCCTGAGGTACTGTAGATAGTAGTAGTAGCTAGAAGATAGCATTAGCTAGTAGACAGTTCATTATAGATGAAGTGTCTGAGATACTAGAGCTTCCATTCTCATGTCCTTTACCTAGTGAGAATTTACTTGATCTTGAGAGTTGTGGTGAACAGGAGAGTTCATTGTTCTTCTATTTTAGTGACTATAGCCAGATAGGTTGCTATTAATCTATAAGTAGCTAATGTTCAAAGATAGAATTGAAGAAACCATTAAGGAATCAATAAAAATGCCTCTACATTAACCCCAAAAGGTAGGCTTCCCATCATATTTTCCTCAGCTGATCTGTTTAGGATAAAAAAGATAGTATTTGATTGCTATTTGGAAAAATGAGAATCAATTATTCCATGGTCTTTACAGTAGTGAGTGAATGGAGGTAGAAGCATCTCAATAAAGGAAATGTTATTCAAATATATAAGTAGCAATTCAACACTCGACTCAAGACTGGTGTTGAAGCCCCCAGGCCCTTAAGGTAATCACACCAGGGAACATAGAGACTGGTTTTAGATGCTTTCCTCAATGAGGTCCATACATCATTATATATAT